GTTTATCAATAGTGGGTACTGGCCTAATTCGGCCCATCACCCGTTGCACTTGTCTCTCTCTGCCCCTGTCTCTCTCCCTGCCCGTCTCTCTCTCTTCCCCTGTCTCTCTCCCTGATCCTGTCTCTCTCTCTGCCCCTGTCTCTCTCTCTACCCGTCTCTCTCTCTGCCACTTTTCTCTCTCCCTGCTCGTCTCTCTCCCTGCTCCTGTCTTTCTCTCTGCTCCTGTCTCTCTCTGCCCCTGTCTCTCTCTCTGCTCCTGTCTTTCTTAGCCCTGTCTTCCTCTCTCACTTCCTTGCTCTCTCGCTGGTGCCAGGCTGAGGGAATGGAAGCACAGAAGCCCACTAGAGTGAACAGGACCTGTGCAAAAGCTCATTCAGCAGGAGAATATTTGTGATATGTGATATTTCTTATATGAAAGACTGAAACACTGAGGAAACTTCCTCTCATCAGCCACTCGATGGGACGGACCAACCTGCTGAGCCTGATGCTCCTACAGGCTGCGATTGCCCTCTGTGACAGGACTGGGACAGCAAGTCATGATGATACTCTCGGGTCTGAGAGAGGGGCACCTTGCAGGTCTGAGTGCTCACTGGTGTGATGAAGATGACGGATGGGGATCCTGTTGTGAGGGATTGTCCTGTACAGACAGGGTACAGGAGCTCTGTCTCTTCAGCCCACAACAGCCCATACAGAAACTGGAGATGTTATTTAAGCTGGATAACAAAAAACACTTCTTAACACAAAGAGTTGTGGGTGTCTGAGACAGGCTTACTAGCTATGTGGTTGAGACCCAAACTCTGGACACTTATATACATGACTAAAGTACTAAAGAAGAAAGATGGCTGATTGGGCTCCTGTCGCTTGCTGCCTTATTTACACATCAGTTTTCAATATGATTACAGATGCAGAGCTTATAAAGTCAGAGTATGTGCAGGGATAAATCTCCCCATGATCAAGCAGACTGAGAATTATCCCCGAGGAGACAGATACCAGTCCAGTGCAGACGCAGAGCTCTGCGGTCACCCTCTCCCCTCTCCCCGGCTGCAGGACAGGAAGAGGGAGGGGGGTGTTGACTCACAATGCTCAGGAATGCAGGGGAAAGGGGGGGGCACACCCCTCCCCCAGCCTGTACCTTGTCAGGGCAAAGGTTTCATGTCTGAACTGTTTCATGTCTGAGCGGAGTCCCTGTGCGGCGCTCGGGCCCTGCCAGAGCACTCCTCCTGCACACTATTGTACCTCCCAGTCCTGCGCGGTCTGGGCCCCGAGTCCCTTCCTGCCTGACGCGAGGCTGACAGGTACACGACTCACAGCCCCGCGCCACACTCCCCAGCAGAGCAGCAGCGCGGCAGCTCGCTGGCAGGACTCTCTTTTCTTCCTTATATGGTAACAGAGCGGCGCCCTGCTCGAGAGGGGGAGGGGCGGGCCGCTCTTTTGTCTCAGCGGAAGGGGTGTAAAGTTACTCTGGCAGCTTCACATTCCTCAGCCATCTGCCCTCCTCTGGAGCAGAACAGCGCACACCTGGGCAGAGAGAGAGGATTCAGCTCGAAGTGCAGGGAAGGTGTGTCTCTGCTCTTACAGCCGCCTGCGTTGGCAGAATATTGTGTTAGAAGCAGTGAAAGAGAATGAAATGCCACCAGGGATCAATGAGAACATTCCCTCTCATTAGAAAGGAATGTTAATTACACAACAACAACAGAGAGGGAAGAGCTATATCTACCCTGAGAGGAAACAGAGTCAGGAGAGGACTGAC